GTATACAAGCCGGGCTTGCTGGTCGTGAAAGCGATCGGGAAGGGCTCATGAAGTCTTGGAAGATCACTATCAATTCCGGGGCGTCGGGCAATTATGGTCGACGCTCCACAGTTCCGAGGGTCCCTATGGACCTCGGAGTCAAGTTCCTTGACTTCGATAGCGTGGAACGCTGCTTACTTGGACTCATTATATGATCTTATTCTTGGTGTTGCACGATTGAAACATCATGAGCTATGGGTCGAATGAAGTTTGAAGACCTTGGGCGCTAAGCGTACGTCTCCTGGTAAAGCTTTGGTGAATCATGAAATTACCTCAGCTAGGAATCACATTTGAGCAGCTCTCAGTGGGTTACGTGCCAGTCTAGGTTCAGCTTGCGAGTCACGCTTGGTATTCATGTCCAATACACATTTGATGTTCGACAAATCATATACTCCGATCTCCAGCACATTAATCGTTCCGGTCCAGTGCCCGCGCTAATAGAGCCGTTGCCGCATGCCATGAGTGGCATGGTCGGTTAAGGGCCGAGGAATCAAGGGCAAGGCCACAGTGACGCACGTGTAATGGCAAATAATGCACTAAGCGCTGAGCAAGTATCGAAGCAGTCGCTGCATGCCTAGAATGGCATGGCCGTACGAGGTCTGAGGCATTGAGGGCAAAGCCCTCGTGATGCACTTGGATTGGTTTGAAATCTACTGAACACTGCTCGCGTTTCAGTGCAGTTGCTGCATGCCAAGAGTGGCATACCTGGATAAGGTACGAGGCATCTTGGTCAGGGCCCTTCAGGTGCGCGAGGAGTGGCACGTCTTCTGCTGGACGAAGACTGTAGACAAGTAGCTCTTAGTTGGATGTTGTAAATGACATCAAGGCTCTGATGGGACAGGGAGTGGAGACACTTGACGGTGTCTGCAAGGTTCGAGAAGGAAACTCGTCGCGCCGTTGGTGCACCTTGCCCTCATCTTCCTTCCATTCTATCCGGCTCGTAGTCGACTACTTCAGAACCCTCGAGGAGGTATTCGGTCGTCTGTGGCAGGCGCGGTGTGCGGCGCTCGGGTTCTGAGGGCTTGAAATGCGCTTCCCTTGATGCCGTAGACGTATTGTCCGGAGTTGCACCGTGTGCAGTAGGCGAAGAAAAGCTCTGCCCGCGGACACTCCGGGACCAGCGAAGCTTGACGTCTTTCGTGTCATAGCCACAGGGCTCATCGATCAGAGAATGCGTGAAGAAGATCATGGGGACAAAAATGTGGATTAGACACGCGAGCCTCGTACGAGGCAACAGTTGAATGTGAGTTGTGGGTATTCACAATTTTGATGGTGGAGGGTGAAACGGGACTACACGTACACTGGTCACACAAGATGGTGTGATCACACGATGGTTTGGCTGCACCTTAACATGAAGCCATTGCGTAGCGGCAATGCCAGTAGTTATGCATTTTAATTAGGTTTACTGTCTAATTAGAAAAAAGTAGGTGATCTTGTATAGGTTCCTTTCAGTAAAGAGCTACGGCAGCCCTACTGCAGAGGAAGCCAAGGTGCTTACTAATATGCGAAGTCGTAGTGACTCTCCGAGTCCCAACTCGACACGTTTGTCCTTTCCGAAAGGCATTATATAACGATTTTTGATAAGTGAGAGACGCTGTCTAGTATGCTCTCAAATTTCACAATCCTTGCCCGTTGCCTATTGAATAAATATGTCTTACTACCTGACGTAGATACTATAAGCTCATTCAAAATACGATGAATCTGACTCAGTAAGCCAAGTCTGCTTGCTTATAAGCACAAAAGTTGCCATTCCATTTGCACAGTCGACCAAAGCGTACTCATGGTTGCGATCCGTCAAATTGTGCACACCGCGCCGTAGCATAGCCTATACAAGCCTACACATGGAGGGCTTTCACTGATAGAGAAGGCAAAATGGGCTCTAAACTCGCCCAGCTTGACATTTCTCACCCTAGCCTGTCACACCTAAGCAGATCGGCTTGCACATATTAGAGCAGCGGTCGAATCATGCACTGGCTGCTGATTTCTGGTGAAAGCATAAAAAAGTACCACACTCAAATTGCTTGCAGTATCATGAAGAGCCATCGCTGTTCCGTCGTACTACTTAAAAAGCCAGCTTCAGTGGCGAGACATCCAACGAGAGAATGGCTGAATGCTTTCTGATGCGAATTCGAAGCACGACGTGGATGTTGTGGTAGAGGCAAACCAATATTTACGTTTAAAGAATGCTCAATAAGCTATAAGGTTTTGCGCTTAGATGTCACTTTTTCAAAGTATTTTGATGTTCTCTTCATCGCCTTCCCAATTTGAAAGGCTAACGCATTCATTACTGACTCACTTGACTCGTAAAGTGTGGTGGTACCGTTTAAAGAGTGTATCAATTACAGAAGCGAGACGAAGCGAATGTAACCCGCTTTTGTGACCAACTTGGAAGGGAAAAGTTGTACTACCTAGTGGGAGTAATGATCCGGTGCCGAACTATGTAAACGTGAGGAGACCTTATGCTCCATAATATTTAGTGTTAAAAGAAATTGTGCAAACGGACTGAGCTCTCACCGCACGAAGAGCCATTGGAAACCAGTTAGTTCGAGCATAATTTTGGAACTCGCATAGACGCGATCAGAAATTTTGCATTCGTGGTCTTCGTGGGACCTCATTGCTGTCAGCGTTACCGTTACCGGGGATAGTTTAAACGCGCGTTTTGTACAAAAGCGCATTGCCAACATATCTAAACGGCGACCTTTGTGTAGGATCGAGATTTTGAAAGTTTTGGTAAAATTTGTTTGACAAGTTTAGCACTGGACTGGACATATCGACTAACACCGACACGGGCGGCTAAATGGTGGACGTACTTGGTGAGCGATACTCTTCGCAGTTTCTTATACTCTTCATAGCTTTTAGTTTTTTTGCGGAACGTCTGCGGTATCGCAATGAGATATCACCATGTATTAGATTTATGAATAAAAACGCTGTACACTCCTAAATCCAGTTGATGCCATCAATATGATTTGACTTACTGATACCAGAAGGGCTACACTTTGCGACAAAATACGATGTACGTTTTGAATAAGATGCACCGAGCGTGCAGATCTTTGGTGAAGAGCTAGTTGGTGCATATGAAAATGTTATCAGAGGCATTCAAACACAAATTTTGTGCAGCGAGTGAAGCAGGAATACCACAAATTTTCTAAATCCATATACCAAGGCAGCATCTGCATATATGTTTAGTTGCAGCCCAGCTACGTCAAATTGTTAAGGGTCGAAGCCAAAAATTAATTGAATATCATTGAGACTACAGGCACATCTCGTTTTAAAGTATGCTTGTTCTAGCCATATCGCAATCCCGCTCTAATGAGTCAGTCAGAAGTTCGGTTTACTGCTCAAGACAATTCTGTGGCTTTGGTGCCTTCTGTTTTACGGTATTGATACATTTTGAGCTGCTCAGATGCCCTGAGCTGTGCTATACAAATATGTAATTCTTAGAAAACGTCCAAAGCGTGTCTCATGTCATCTATGAGCGCACTCAGAAACTTCCGGAGAGAATCAAGTTGCCGCTTTAACCAAGAGAAATTACAGGGGTGGTATGCTGTAGAAACACTTTATAATCGAATATGGTAAAACAAATATATTTAGTATCCTTACAAGACTTATTCTAAATAGCTGTCTTCAAAGAAAAGCTCGGGGCGGTTGGCTACACCAATGGGTGGAGCATACGACTCTATCCCTTTTGCAATGTGAAAGCGGATTCTATAAGGCTACTTTTTTGGTGCAAAATGCACGGCAACCACCTTTCAGACAAGAAACATTGCTCTTTTTCAAAAGAGTGACCAGAAAACTTTATAATCTCTTTATCCTTCGACAATAATAAGTGCCCACGTGTCCTATGCTGTTTTTGTAGTTCATACCTTCTTTAAATGGTGGTTATTTCAGCGATAGTCCTTCTATGAGTATTCTGATGACAGTGCTTGCATATTGCAACTGGCTACTTGACGAAGACATGGGTACCATACAGCAAGCGATTGCGATATTGCCTGTTGTCATAACCTAAGAGCATCTTTGTCGAGCTGTCTTCCCCAAACAATAAAGTCATCATCAAATCCGATCTCAAGAAATAACGAGGGTACGGTCGCGTGCGGGACTACATGTTTGATTCGCACACATTCAAATTGTTGAGAATTTCACTCTGTGCTACCTTGAAGCCTACCTTTCTAGATCTTTCTAGGAGCTTCTTCACGGATCCTAATTAATCAAAACCAATAAAGACTATCATTATGTCCGTATTCAGCATCCGTAATCATGATAGTAATTGTAGGCATGACTGCAATGCTTGAGAGGTCATCCACATGCATTCAGCGGTGTAAACTTATCACTTTCACTTACCGCTAATGTTGAGTGTGCTTTGTCGGTGATTTGGTCTTGATGCCCTCTCTCTCACGCAGAAGCTTAAACATCTTGGCCCCAAGTACCTTGGTTAGCATATCTGAAGCTGACTCTTTGTATCGTTGCAGCCAATCTCAAGAAATCCATGCTGAACGTTCTCCCGAAGAAAGTGCTGTCTGATGTCCATGTGCTTTGTACGAGCATGGTAGCCCGCATTCTATAGCACCTTGGTAATCTTTTCATATTTGCATGCCTTCCGCTTGGCCTTGACCCATGTCCTTGAGCATTGCACGCGTCCAAAGTACTTTATGTGTGCATAAGCTTTGCGTTATATACTCTGCTTCTGCGGAACTTAGTGCGACGGTTCTCTGATATTTGAATTTGAACGCAACCGAAGCTTTTCCAATATTGATCAACATACCTGAGACAGACCGTTTGTCATCGGTGTTGCTACCTCAGACTGCATCCGAAAAAGCTTCAACAGTCACTGTTCCAGTCCCTCCTTGGTAATGATTCCGTGATGATGTGTCAAATTTAAATAGTGTAGCACACGAATTGCTGCGTTCCATTGTGGTAGCCCGGGATTCCCGAGAAATCGAGACGGCTGTGTGACGATATATGCGATGTCCGGCCGAGAGTAAGTTGAAAAATATCGCAGATATCCAACAATTAGTGAAAGGTATGGTCTTGACAACATCTTTGAACGCTCAGCTTCTGTACTTGGTGACTGTAATGTTGACAGATTGAGACCGGACGAATACGGAGTATCGACGTCCTTGGCATTTTTTAGTCCAATTCACTTCGCAACGTCTCTAATGTAGCGTGTCTGCTTGATCATTAGTGTGGAAGCCGTTCTGTCGTGGTCAATTTCCACGCCCAAGATAAATTTTGCAATACCGAGATCCTTCATCTTGAAACTACTTTTTTGTATTTTTTGACCTCTAGAATCTCGCTGCTCGTCTTGACCGCATTGATCATATCATCGGCATATAGGTACTCGTACACAAAAACCCTGTTTTACTTTCATCACGTAGACGCATTAATCCGCTCCACAACGTTAAATCGCTCTTTGTGAAGACGTGATCGAGCGTTTCGCACCAAGCACTTGCAGCTTGCTTTTATCCATATATAGCTTCGTTCAGTTGACACGCAAGTTCTTGAGGTTCCTTAATCCCGATCGGGAGGGAACCTCCATGTTAATAAGACCCGACAGCACACCGTCGAGAAAGGCGGTGTCGACGTCCAGCTGCTCCATTTAGTAGCCCAATATCGCGCACACTGCGTGTACAACTCGAATTGAGTTCATGTTGGCCACTCAAGAGTAAGTCTCGAAGGAACCCACGCCGTATTTCTGCTTAAACCCTTTAACCACCAATCGTGCTTTGAAGCGCACAACACATCCGATCTGGTCACGCTTGTTAGCATAGACCCAGCGGCGTCCAATTGTACGTCCAACCAAATTTCGTGGAACGAGTGTCAATGTTCTGTTCTGGCGATGCGATTGTAAATTCGGCGTCCATCGCTTGTCGCCAATGTTCTGCTTAGTCACTAGCCATTGCCTGCACATACATGGTAGGCAAGTCCGATTATTTTCCAATACAGCGTAAGCGAGAACAGCTTCGATTATAAGGCCATCTTCATCACTATTTGCACGGTGGTCTCTCGCTATCCTTCAGACTTTATTCGGCATTTGATACGTTATGCAACAACAACATTGGTTTGCGTTTACGCCTTCAACGTTCTACTTGCGGCTGAAATACTAATCGATCTTCCTGTGCATCCAGTGTAGAAAATCTGTACTCTGGCAGTTCAAAGTGTACTGAGGCCGGTAATCGAAGAACCTCACCCCTTGACTTATCCATGTCGGAGTCCTCCTCATTCGATTGGAGCATCTGAAATTTCTCATTCTTCCTCACACTCTATAGGCTCGTCTTGATCTTGTTGGAGTTTGGTCGGCCCGAACACTGCGCTTTCATTGTTGTTCTTGGTGACGTGCTTCAATTTTATTTGTTTGGGCGGGTGCGTCTCATAAATGCCGCCCACTTCATGCTCGTCCAGCTTCACCAAACGTGGTACTGATATCTTTTCTTTCCTCAAATCGAATTCTGTATCCTTTGATGTCTTCGGCATAACCGAAAAACATGCACTTGAAGCTTTTGGCTTCGAGCTTTGTCCCCTTAACTTGATCAACGTGAGCATAACCATAAGTTATAAACACCCTAGAGTGATCTACCCGATGATTCAACATAAATCTTAGCTCATACGGAGTTTTGTTTGGGTGCACTGTAATGGGAGAGCGGTTGGTTAGGCTCACCGCAGCGCCTACTGCCTCCGCCAACCAATACGTTGAACCCAACTGTAGTGTAGCATGCTTCGCGCCTTTATCATAATAGTGCGGTTGATTTATTCTGTAATTACGTTCTGTTGAGGGTTGTATGGTACTGTACACTGATGTATGATGCCGTTCTGATGACATAATTCCGCGACCCACATGCTGACAAACTCCGTTCCGTTGTCCGAGCGCAGGCACTTGATACGGGTTCCCCATTGATTTTCATGCAATGCTAAGAGCATCTTGATCTTGTCAGCAACTTCACTTTTCTTCAACAGAAAGTAAAGTACCACATATCGCGAATAATCATCCACAAAAGCCAAAAATGGTGTTTGCACCTCCTTTCAATAGTGTCTTCATGGGTCCAATTCCCTTGACGTTTTTGTTATGGAGCGTTCCGAAAGGCTTCAATCGTCTGCTTACCCTTCATGCATCTAGCGCATAAGGTTTTGATGCCTTGTTTTACCGCTGGTACACCTTTTGTGGATCGCAAAGTCTTCACTTAAACATCCTTACTTGGGTGTCCCATACGAGCAGGCCACAGCTCCACTGACTATCAGCTTCCAAGTATTGCGCCGATGGTGCCTCCTCTTGCTAACAAATTAGTGTGTAAGCTTTCCCATTTCTTGTTTCAGTTGCCAGAACACGGTTCTTGTCCCAAATGGTCCAAGAAGCATGCTAAATCTCCACGCTTAGTCCACATTCGGCGGCTTTTCCACCGAAAGTAAACGCATGTCAAGTCCAGGTATAAGCAGCACTTCCATCATCTATATGCGTCTTCCATCTAAGCCAATATATCTCACTGTTCCAGCTCGTTTGACGCATAACTTCCTGCCGTCTGCAATCGATACCTGGACGTCTGCTTTAAGTCGCTTGAAGTCGATCAAGTCACTTCGGTGAGTTGTCATGTATGATCTCGCATCACTGTCAATCAGCCAGCTTGCTGATTGCCCCACACAGCAAAAATTGCATCCTTTCCGCTGGAACGGTTTTTAGATGGGCAGCCGTTCTAATATAGCCAGTCTGGTCACAAATAAATCAGTTGTCCAAAAAAACAGCTGTCCATGCGTTGCGCGTAAATTTAGCAACCACTTCCTCGTCTGCCCTTGATTCTTTCATCATTGCCTGTTGCGCCAAACGCTTTCTCACGAGCTTCCTTCTTTGGTAGCCTGTCTGACCTTTCCAACCGCTTCTCCTTTCCTTCGATCAAGCGATGTCCTTGGCGTTTTCCACGACAGAAGAAATCATCTCATATTCCGCCATCAAGCTGATCAGAAGTATCACTAGCTGTCTTGATTCATCCACCGGCTCTTCCGTCGTCTGGAGCCCCACTACCAGCTCGTCGAACGCGTCCAGATGTTCCACCTTGCGAGTGCCACTTTCTATCTTAAACAAATGAAGGCGACATTTCATCGTGACACGGTGGTGCAAGTGGAGCAATTGTAGAAATTGCGAAATGTTTTTCATGCCTCTAAGGCACGAGTAGCAGACCGAATCTTGCTCTGGTATTAACTTTCGACGCTCTGGGCAGTTATACCCAATGCCTTGGTGTCATTCACGAGCATTTCGCCGTTTTCCTTTGCGCTTATAACACGCCCGAGAAGCCCTTTTTGCAAGGACCATCCTCATGTTGAACTCCCAATGGTAGTCGCTCACATCTCCTAGGAGGACTTCGGTGCGCTTGGTAGTCATGGCGGCGAAAGTGTGGTGAAGCATACCGTTGATTGCATATGTTAATCTGTTGAAAATCCGAAGTGAGTATCTTGCGGTCCTTAGTTCGCTACTCTATGCTGAGAACCTTCTCAATGTAGTCTTATTCTAATTCGACCAACGACCGTCTACCATTATGTCCGTAATCAGCATCCGAAAACATGATAGTAATTGTAAGCATGACGGTAATTCATGACGTCATCCACATGCTTCAGCGGAGTAAACTCAGCACAAATTGCGCCGTGTATGTACTTAACTCACTGGAATTGCGACCCTTATCAATGGTAAGTTGCAATAGTGATTCATTTTATATTGGCTCTTGGCTAACGGTAATCAGTCGAGCTTTCACCCTATTTACTTTTACATAAAGTCTTGAATTCAACCCGAAAGTCTTCATGTAATGGAAGTGGTTCGCTTGACAACAAGCGTCGAATTAACGGATCCATTGTCTTCTAGCATACTCACTTACTTGACCATCAAGATTGATGGATCACCTTGCACTTTGTGATAAAAGCGGGTAAGTATGCTGCTCCTTACAATCATAGCTAGCGTGGCCGCGCATGAATGAAGCTGTTAAGTACTTGATGACAGCATTTCAAGAGTCTTCTGTGGATCCGCGAACCGCGACCCTTCCATGCCTTATTTGAAAAAGCATTGTTCAAGTATTCCAAGCAGCAAATCGTTAAATCTCATGAAAGTTGATATTTTCATGCTCATATTTCGCTTTCTCACTTCTTATCCATACAATATCTTACGCGCTTTTACTACGAATAGCAAACACGAACTGATTCTCGCTTTATCATCCCATCGAAACGCGGCTGCAAGTCCATATCAGCAAATTTCATAAATTGTTTAAATGTGAATGCTTGAAACTTCTGCGCATTAGCGTGTCTTCGCATATTCAATAATTAATATAATTTATATTATTGCTCAAAAACAGTTCAGTCAAATGCGGTAACAATCATTACATGCACGGTGCTGCAGCTAGCGGCGAATCTAGGAATGAAAGTGTGCGGCCTTACTCTAGAGGAGACTTTAAACATGATGTCATTTAGAAATTGTTCATAGCATTTTATAGTATATTCTACTTCATGCAACTACTAAAACATAATATAAATAATATGAAATTTTAGTATTTTGTGCTATCTAGAGATATTAAAACATTGCAAATAGCATATGTTATGTTTTAATATTGAGGAAAATAAAAACAGTCTACCAGAAAATAAAAACAATATAACGCATCGACGAACCTGTTTTTTTTAAGCTGAGCAGTTGCCTGTTGTTGACTCTTCTCAGGTCTTCCACGCTTCTAAAATTCGGGAAGGCTTGCAATCAAATGCTGACAAGGAGGTTTTGATTGTAAATGGAAAATTAGTTTCACTTGGATGTTCGCTCTATGCTGCTGCAAATGTTGATGTCTTCCATGTAGGGTGATCATATCTTCTAGCATAATGAATTTTGTTAGCATGTTTCAGTGCAATGAGTGCATGAACACATGAAGTAGCAATGCCTTTTGAATCTCCACACGAACAAGCAACATCGGTCTCAGTAAACTTTATTATAAAGCGCACAACCTTTTTATGACGTTCCCCTCACTACCATAAATGGATCATTAACTGCGAATTATATAAATATACTATTGCACTGTTTATTTACAGATACTGACCTTGAGTATAGACCAGCTTACTGATCTAAAGATTAATATTCACCAAATTGTAGCAGACCAGATATATAATACTCGTAATAGATCAGCACAAAAAAATTGGCCAAAAAGATTAATCGTCCGGACAAAAAAATGTTGGTTGCTCTGAAACAGTCAAGATCGTTTTGTCAATGATGCAATTGAAATGCTATTTGGTTCAGCGAAACAAATTCGTGAGGTAAATACAGAGCTCACAACCAAATGCAATTGTTGTGGTCGATATACTCCGATAAACACGTTGACTGCAATTCAATATATCAAGTACATCGTCTCCCACGTTGATATTAGGGAAAATAAAAAAATCTACCAGATAAACAAGAAAAATAAAAATAATTCACCAGATATTTAAAAAGAATATTAAGTGTATACTACGTTGAGTATCCTCGTAAAGTTGTAATTTGCCCATTGAACGTATATAGCTGATTTTTTTCGCTATTATTACTCAATGATATTGACGGATAGCTGAAATATAGACATAGATTCTTGCACACTTGATGCTCCATGTAGTTCTCGCTTAGAATCGAGTTACTGTACACTTGACTGCAATCCGACGCTTAAGATTCAAACGATAACTTAAACGAGATTGTTTACTATGAAAAAAACGTCAGTGATTATAACATTTGTTATAGAATGATGTCAATTATTCTTTTTTTATACAGCTGGGAGCATGATTAGTATACCCATAACCCGAGAGTGCATTATCGTTAGGTCCATAAAACCTGCTGTTACGCGAATGTAGCTTACAAAGTTGTACTTATATCGTCGAGTCAGGCACTAAGTCGAAATGGTTGCGAATTTTACGAGAAGCGCCGTCAAAGCAGAGTAGACTGTGAAGTGCAGTATACTGTTGACTTGACTAAATCTGTGGATAGAAACGAATGATACTCAGTAATCCATTTGCACATCTACGGCTTTCTGGCGACGGCAACGTGTCTCGTCTGGTAGCATGTATTGCAGATTCTTTCTATTGGTCATCACTTGTATACCAATTCACGAATTCTAATTATCAATTTTCAATTTGGTATTAGCAGTAGCTTCATGTAAAATTCTAAAGTTAAGATGCATGCAGACTCATGAAGCTGTTCGACCGCGAACTTGCATCGGAAGAAAAGTCGGACGAGTCATAAAGATTCGACTGTACTTGGTACTTGTATACAAACTGCATTCGGGCAGCTTCTTCCGAGTCCATGCGAGTTGCTTGAATGAGACACTTTGCACAAAATGTCACTTTGCGCTGCACCATATCGAGGTCCAAAGTAATGAAATTGAGTTTCTTGGGAATTTTACACGAAGTACACAAGACACCAAAGCATAGCTTACATGTCTTATGCGATTTACCAAATACGAATCCTTTAACGTTCTTTTGGCACGTCACACACTCGGATTGGAGCACTATATAGCTTTGTTCTTTGGCTTCCATCTGCTTTTGTTCTAGTAACCACGTCAGCTTTTTCATTTGACCACAATACGAATACTTGAGTCCAGCCATTGTTACTTGTACCATACCCAAGACACCAAGGATTGAAATCATGTCACCACGAGGGTCCATAATCCCGGTACCATAACAATCGGTTCGATCAAGACTATCTTCATGAAATAATCCGCAGAACGACAGATTTCCACGGACACGATTCGGGAGCTCATGCGTTTGCGGAAAATTCACGGAATGCAGCAAGTGGTACCCAACACGTTCTCCATTTGGAAGACGTAAGATACCTGTACTTTCAAGGTACACGTAGTCACGATTACGTACGAAACCAATAGACGCACCCGGAACATCAATTTCTATCCATTTGACGACTAGCGATCGAAATGGTTCCTCAACACTTGGTTCAACAATCGTCGCCAATACTGCAGCATCGTAAAAATCTCTAAGGTACGACGACTTAATGCGCATCGCCTCAAGTGTTGGACTTACAAGTCCAAACATGTTTTCATCGAGGGATCCAGGAAGTGGACCGACCATAAGTAAAGCCGGTAGTTTAGTTTCGGGACTCGCATTCTTACGCTCGAGGTACGTCATGGTGTTCCCATCCCTTTGAAGCTTTTTCCATCGGACTTGATCGACATATCTTTGATTGCTGATATGCTTTTGGTATTCTGGGAGTTTGGTCATCACAAGTTCATGAGCAATAGCAATGAGATCAGACTGATCTTTGGCTGTGAGCACCAAGTCTGGAAACGGATTGACGGTGAAACGCTTTCCACTTGCCATGTCGACTTTCCAAGTGAGCTCTGACGTTTTTAATGCTGTCAATTGTGCACTAGCACATCTCTCTTGTCCGTTCGACAAGGATGAAGCATGACAGAGGAAAAAGTCAGATCTATGTCGTACTACACGTTTTAATAGAAAAGACTTGATCGCCAAGTACGACTAAAAACGCCAGTTTTGGTAAAAGCCAGCATTTTTTGAAGCTATTAGCTATGCTCGTACCGTCTGTCTACCAGACCATGTTATGCGGGTAAAACAAAGCCGTGGTTGCGTAGTACCAGAAACATTACTGGACTTCCAAGCCCATAAACGTCATGCATTTGTACATTTTGCCTCAAGAGTACAGATTCCACATTCAAGTAAGTTGGAGGGTGATATTCCTAGTAGTATCAGAATTAAAAGAAAAGGGACAAGTAAAGTCACCGTTTTTCAGCAGATTAAGCTAATACCATGAAATGGACGTATTAGCCTTTTTGCTCTTTAAAACCGGCTAGATTTACTAGCAGTTAGCCAGTTTGTCATTTCATTTAGAGGCATAAGAAGAATGCCATTTGACTTGATCTGTCCACCGTTGACACAGAGCTACAAAGGCTGTACGGAATGTATGAAACAGCGCGTGATTCTTTCGAGTTGTTTCGAGATTAACAATGACTTGAATTGAAAATTTGGTGAATAGTCATTCTGCTTGGATTGAGTGATGGGCTCAAGGGTAGACCTTGCAAATAGACAAATCTCGCACCCTTGTGTACACTTGGTACCTTACATCAATTGATGGGGATCTACAAGAGCTATCGGCATGAAAGGAGATCGACTTTTCACAAAACGTGGTGTGTTATCTAAAAACTTTTCTACTTTATGAGACCCTTTCGTTGTGTATTCAGGATATTTTGAGGACAGGCTAGTGCTGTCTCGAGTATTTTGACATCCGAACGTGCCTTTACTGAGTCGAGTAGTGATGTAAAAGCATCACTGGTTGTTACTTTTGTCTTCATGGTGAATTTCAGTCTATTATTGTATGGTCGAAGATTGCAGAAGTTCCAAAAAAACTGTTGTTTTCTTTTTTTGGAGCATCCATCTCGCACTTTTTGTGAAGAAGATACAACAATCTGCTCGGTTTTTAGCTCTTTTTCATCAAATGCAGGTCAACTGTTTATTCATGTGGGAGCTTGCTGGTCTCGACGGCATTACGTAGCACATTTCTATCACAAGGTATTGCCATATATGTCACTTTGAAAGTGAGGTCGCACCATCGCAATAAGTGATCACAGCGTCATCTAGTAGAAAAACAAAAAGTGCTCTCGAGTACATTTGCACTCGTTGCCCTCATCTAGTAATACAATCGTGCTCATTGCAAAGTAGAAACGTTCGAATGTTCTTTGAGTTAGATAGCGACTTTTACGAATTATAAACACATAGAAAGTCAAAATATGCTACCCCAGGTATTTCTTGGGAGCTGTTTAAGAATGTTGATTACCAACTGCTCCATGTCGCTAAAACCAGCATTTTCACATCTATGTAATCATCACACGGTAAGCTCTCAAATGTGCGCTTAAGACTCGCTTATTCGAGATTCAACACGCTATCATATAAGCGGATCGATAGTTGATGAAACCTTCTTGAAGATGTTTTCCAACTGATAGTGCAGAAGTTTATGTTTTTGCCCACAATTTTCTTGACTCTAATTTGATCACTTCTACACGTTTTGATAGTTTTACGAGAGAACTTGGTATGTTTTCACCTCATTTAACTGAAAAGTGCTTGGGCAAATGATAGAAAGCTATGCATACAGCAAGTGATTTATCTGTATTTGAATACCAGCTGTAGCTGAGTAAGTGAGCTGTAACGGAGAAGGTATCATACTATTGTATACTTGTTACTTACAATTCAGAACTAACGATACTCAGAGGGTTGGACTACACAATGGAAAGTCCCGTAGTAAATGTCGGCTGTTTGCCGCACGCTAAGGAATCAAGATGTTGCGATAATCAGATATTGTGAAACGCGTATATATAAGTAGAGAAAAAAATTTAGATATGGTACTCGATATCACAGGCCACAAATTACTTAAGACACTTTTGGTTCCTCCGCTATTGCTTGGAGCAGACGAGCCTCTGAGCATTTGTTAATGCGAACTTTTTACGGGCGAAGGTACCTCTGTGGGAATTGTGCGACAACCCGTTGCACTTGCTAGCACTTCCACCACCGAGTTGTGAAAGAAATGCATCCTCTTTTAGGATGGAACACGAGTTGTTTGAAAACCTGCCCCAAGACAAAACAAAGTATATATATATTGCTCATGGAAAGAGTACCGAGAGCTGGAGGTGAAAAGCTTCATGCAAAATTTGAAGACCACCATCAGCTCCAAAGGGGTGCTATTAAAGCACCTATAGCAACGCCCCAACCGGCTGTCGACGTCTGCACAGATGGCGCATACTGTGAGGACGCTGATGGTGACTAATCAACCTTTCGAGATCAACGACGGTGAATATCATCCTCTGGATAATGATAGTTGAGATGACCATACATTCGGTCGGTCATCAGCAACAGAGCATCGCCCTTTTTATTTCTTAGCTAGAAGAGCGAGCGCGAGAATGCGCACTAACCCGTAGAATCTCGGTGGAACAGGCGCACCCAAGACGGGGACAAATGTCGTAGACATTCGCAAGACCTATCCAAGCGCGTCAGGTGCGCTTGAAATTGTGTCTTTTTATCAAAAGAGGCGATCTTAAGTGCTCTATATCCAGACAAAAAGAGCTCCTACAGTCTCAAAACGTTAGACCCTCTCTTGAAGAAAGGTTTATACTTAGGGATGGTCTTCAAATGGGGGGATTCGCAGCGGGCCCAACCACATTCTATATTGATTGGGTAAGCGATGAAGCTCGTACTCAATGACAAATCAATTTTTACTGCTGCGTCGACCAGAAAGGGCACTAAACGCAGAAGCTCTATGAGCGCACCGATAGCTGTCACGCTAGGAGGGAAGAGGGTCATCTGAGTAGCATCACTTCTATATCGGGTAGCTGAGCTACCCTTTGCTTGAAAGCAACTACGCATTTCTAAATCGCAATGTGTGCCTCAAACCAGACTGCGCGCTGGCGAAGCTTTGCGTGCCAAAGTGTGATCCCAGACTCATATTAACTTTCTGATTAAGTTGATATCTTGCTTTTCACCATAAACTGATACAGTCCAGATGGACCCGCAATCGCTCCACATGAATGGGGACCACAGCTTGCTAATCGAGCAGTGCAGACGATGGTCGACTCGCCACGTGAACTTTCTTGGTTGTAATAGGATGTTGATTCTCTTCAAGGTCTCGATGTGCGCCAGAAAGTGAACTGTGCCAGATTCCGATAAAATTTATTGCCTTGGCGCCGTGGCTTGTCAGGACCTGGTGCAACCTTGGCCTTTTTTACTTCTTGACGAAGAGGAAGGGTCGCCTGTTGCAGCGTACTTTCCACTAGCGCGTGGCAAACTACCTTAAGCTGAAATAGGGCGAAGTAACAGCAGTCCAATAGAGACGAGCAGATATTTAGAAGCCGGGAAAAGAATCTATGGATTATTATCTCGTCGTCCGCAACGTGCATTGCTGTTTGCAAATTCAAACATGAGACAACGATGTAGATGGACGACCTTTTACTTAAACTATTTTTTTAAGCTGTAAGACGTGTGTTATAGGCGAAACGCCACGTGATCCCTATCTAGTGCGCAACCTGAGTTAAATACTCATCGTCCCATTCATCATCTTTAAGCTGCCAGATTACACCCCTCATGAAGCGTGCGAGTGTTGTCATTCACCGCTTCTCTAAAGACAGGCGGTATACCTGTTAGTAGCGACTTCAGCGTTAAGAAAGCACTCGTGGAGCGACTTTCATAGATTTATTTTGTAATGCGCGCAAGCAGAACGCCCGTTCGCTGAGGAATGAGTAGGATCTGTTCTTATGCAACAGACGACTTTGGACAGTTCAATCCCATTATCACGACGTGATGAAGTTGTCAAGAGCCAGCGATGCTCTTGCGCATGCGGTAGAGCTGGCAGGGCTCCATGGGCCATGTCCAGCAGTGTCGAGACTCAATTAACGCTCAAAAGCGCGTGGCGAGGTTTTGACCGTTTGACATGTTCACTGGCATGGTTGCAGTCACCGGATGAAAACGGATAGTTTGCTTCATGACATGTGGCTATTTGACATGTGTTGAAAGTTGCTGCTATAACCTGCTAGACTCAAATGCAATATCGCGTCCATGTCCATTTGCATCGGATAACTTATACCTTGGAGGTATAGAATTGGTTGCAGCATTACTAGTAGACTTGATTGCTACTCTATTGTATCGTTTAAGCCAATATATGGATTTTTATTGGTAGTTGGACCAGCTTTTTTTTTCAACTGTCGTCACAGTAACATCATCTGATGGAAAGAAGAAAACCACAGCATCTCCCACGCTATTCTCCGCAGTATACTTGCTCACATAGAAAATGAAGTGATGTTGTATACACCGTATAGTTATGTGCTAACACCTCACACACTTATCTCTCAAGGCGTGGAGTGAAAGCTGAGGATACCGAATAACTGGTATGGATAATGGATCCGTGGAGCAGTTGGCAACCAGCTCAACGCTATGCAGTTCATAAGACTTTACTATCAACGATAGTAAACAAATATATTTTGTACAAGTTGAAGTTATGCGTAAGGCTAAGTATATGTCACTCTTCAACTTAGCAGAACAAAAGTCATGACGAAGTCACCTGAGATGTGATTCACTTTTGCTATGGAGTGACGCGTACAAATCCATCCTGAGTTAAACACGGACTCCTAGAGTTAACACTTTCTTCATGCGGGATGCACTATAACTTCCATTGCAACTTAGTAGCAATTGTACTTGTCTGGACGATCGAGTTTGAAAAGGCTGTATCTTCTATCAAGATTAAAAATAGGTGCTCGAATTTCTATACTCATACATCCGAAGATGATTTTAATCTCAGCTGGTAAGTTAGTACAGAAGTGACATCACACTCACCAAAGTTGGGGCCGGATTGTGGACATCGTTCACCTGAAAGCGTTTGCCTGAAACGATCATGCTTCCGTGAGGAACGCTCCAGGAAGACGTCGGAAACTTATTAACCGCTCTTCCGACGAGCATTCCGTAAGTTAATAACCTTTTTTTCTCTAGTAATGAAGCAATAGTTATTTTCAATCGGCTCTAAGGGCATCTAGGCAAGCTCAAAAAGCGGAAGTTTTAGCTGGCCTTGGTGGAATATGACAACGGTCGGCCCACTAGTTATAAGCAGTAATGTTGCCAGTAGGATTCCACGAGGTAGCATAATGCGCTGTTGAAATGAAGCAGCTTCACCGGCTCATGCTGCAGCAGAACCAGCTTTGATGGTGAGAGCGCTTTTACTGAACACCCGACGTTTTGCAGGCAATAACGAAAAACAGATCTTATTCATCAAGAGAGACTCTGATAGCCGCTGACTTTGGTAATACTCCGGATATAGTATTATTCGCTAGCTAGCGGTCTACATCAAGGAGGTGCGCGCGAGAATGCGCACCCAAATGCTTTGCTTGGGCTGAAGTAGCGTTTTCTAAATGGGATACAATGAAAGCATCAAATCAAGCGCGTGTTTGCTCCACCAACCCAATCATGTGATAACGATCCCAATTTATGTTCTTCAATAAAGAAGAAGAAATCAGCAGATTATGTCCAAGCGTTGATGGCGGCGAATCCACTTTGGAAGGCTGTAGCGGCCACAAGATTTATGTAGCTTTCCGGACCGGCGCGGCTTGCCCTGACACCCTCGCCAATCACTCGATTCTTTATAGAGCTTGCGCTATGTGTCGTCTTAATAACGGAGCACATCTTCCACGTCACAAACACCGACTAGAGTGCAGGAGACTAAAGGTCTACAATTCTCCCGAATGCGATGACCCATAGCCATACCAAAGAAGAAAAGCGGTATCTTAGCTGCTAAGCTCAATGGTACTTCTAAAATCTATAGTCATGGTAGTAGCAAAACCTTACGTCCTGTGTGCCTCTTCTTTTTTTTACGCTGTGTGACGAGTCAGGTTTTGCACACAAATACCTTAAATGGAAACGACGGGTGGTCAAGAGCAGCGTCATGATATTTGTGAAGCCATGGGAATCCGAACGATCATGAGTGTCGTACAGTTCACGTAGAGCTTGATACTGATGACTGGAAGACCTGCAGGTATCGATGCTGCCAAATACGGATGGGATTACGTGTCTCGAGGTGGGGACGATAACTAAAGTGCCGACTGTCCTGTAGAGCTTGAGGTATGTAATGGAACATCGTCTGGTTCAAGACTTGATGAAAATTAATCAAATATTAGACAAACAATGCAAACACAAGAACAGCCAATTCGAGACACGATCTCACCCAAGTGAATTATGACTTAAACGCCGAGTGACCTGAATTAGTTGAAGGGCAACATGCAAAGTTTTACAGACTTGTCTCCAGGTGAGGCTGAGGTGACTTCTGGGCTCATCTCTGCTATGAAGCATAAGCATTTTTGTGCAGGCATGAAGTTACAATTTCTTTTGGGCAGTGCACATAACTTGTTCAAATTGTCAAGCAAATTGACTGCTAAGGGCTTTGCTGAAGCTTGAACGGCAGAGCGGCGTCAGCCGCAGACACCTGGTGAGACAAAAGCTGAAACTCTATATATAGAGCACAGCTTTACTGAGATAGAAATTGACGGCAGTATATCGTGGTCTCCAGAGTGTAAATCTGGTGAGTTTTTTGATTGCAGCTGTGAGGTGGGGTACCCAGATTGATTCGTGTGGTATGTATAAGGGCAATTGCCTTTCGGCGGGGCCCTCAACGTAATTCAACGTAGACTGAAAGAGCACCATGGAGTCGAGATCTCCCGAGCGTGCGCCGACAAAGATAACTCACAGTAGGTCACAATAAGAGGAGGTAGACCCTGCGATTGTGAAGAATATTATGCTACAATGGAATGATACTGCTTGGATAGCATTTCCGTATGACGTGTGTGATATGCAGAGTAATGAAGCTGTAAGATGTTTTGATGAGAAACATTTCGCACGCGCAGGATAGTAGAGGTTGCAAGGCTTTTGGTATAGTTTAAGGCAAATGCTCTCTTCAAGGTAAGCCAAATATCCCTTCAGGATGTTACCAATGTTTGCTAGGCGAAGAAAACGCAACGGTGGTAGGGGTAGTAGCGCACGAGGAGCTGATCTTGTCATCCATCATGAATATTTCTTTTACTGATGATACTTGCAGATGACCGAGCCCAACGTGGAGTACGGATTTCTCATGACTAGATCTCATAAAGAAAAATATAAATTTTTCATTTAGCGCCGACTGTCTGTATCCAAAAGGCAAAGTGCGAATGGCGGTTTGCGCGCGGTAAATACGCTAAATGCAGTACTGTACTAGCGCAAACGCTGATCATTGAAACGGATGTAGCAAACTAAATCGCAATGTGCTGCGTATCTTGGCGAATGTTATTTTTTGTCATCCCGTGAGAGACAGCAAACTTCTTTCTCACTGCAATAAGTATTCAAGCCAGATGCCCAGAACGTGGTTGGTTAAGCCACAGAAATTTTTAAATACACTAGGTACATTCAACGTCTAGACACGCAGCAATCTAGGACACATTGTGAGCATGCATAAAAATGTTCTGATGATATTTTTGTCGAAGATCGTGCAAAGCATGAAAAGTCAAATGTGGAGTGCCACGACAAACACTTGCGAGCGGTGATTTCCGTACGCAGTATAACATGTGACTCGCAAGAAGAAACAAGTGCCGACAAAATACCGTAAAGTGGGGTGATTCATTGGGAAGCATGGACCGCACGATACCCCTCAAAGATTAAGTGCTTTTAAGATCGACCAGTGCATTAGATCCAAAAGGACTTAGGAATTTGTCTTTGCCTGGCCCACTATTAATTAGTATGAGCTCCATGCAACAATGCAGAAAGGTACGACTCCTCATCAATCTTCTTTTCGAAGTGAAATGTTGTTTGGGTGTGGTAAATTAGGTGACTTTCAAGGATGCAGAAGTAATTCTCATGTGATTGGATCCTGGCTCTTTAAGTCCAAATCGTTACTTTGTACACTTTATCCTTTGCCATATTACTCCGAAAAGATGAGGATAGGCATGAATTTATTATCTTAGTTGAGTATCGCTTGTATAGAACGGCAATAAGACCTACTCCTCTCCATGACAAGCGACTACTTGCAATGAAGTATGCCCTTGTCAAGATCAGGATGTGTCTGCTTGGCACTTAGCTGTTAATGAACATGCGTCGTTGTCGTCAAGCCATCTCTGACCAGAGCTGCGACTGTTTAGTGTTATATTTTCTTAAGTATAGTGAAAGCCACATCTGCTCAATATTGTAGTGGATGTTGTTTCGTGTCGATCCGGTATTACGACCGAGGGTGTGCTACGTCGTATGCGTCTACGGCGCATAGCGATCTTGAGGTAGTGCGACCTCAAAATCCAATTGATTTCAAGCGAGAGCAGTGTTAACACATCACCAGGTACTGATAACTGTCGTGGTGTACCCGTAAGGCCAAGAAATGACATAAGGAAATATGCCCACCAAGTGGTGATGTCTCCATCGTAACACACGACAATACGTAGTCACCCTCGAAGAAATAGCAGGATCTTCCATCGCAGCGCATTTCACACAATCTGATAAGGATCTATAAGGATGACCTTAGTTAGTAGCTGTAACAGTGATCAAATTAAGACGAGAATAGATGAAATCAGAAAAAGTTAGATGTGATGAGTTGTCGCCTCGACGCCTGCAGCATTCTTAGTGCTTCGCCAAGTCAAGCATTGCTTGTCGCACTAGTTGGACATACTTTGATACAGACGACTTATACAGCGCTAAGACTAGTAGGGCAGCACGTATGCCTTCCTCAGTGCATGGACTGCACACGATACGCTTTGGCAGCCTTTCCAGCTTCAATGAAATGGACCAAGTGACATTACACATATGTGTGGACCACATGATCTGTGTGTCTAACACTAATTATACACCCTGTAAAGTTGTATATCCCCTTCCAGTTCTGCTAAAACAGGAAGTTGTTATCAGGTACGGGAATTTTAAAGCCTTTTGGCAATTATTTAAGTGTCCCTTCACCTTCCCCCTTTCTAAGTAAGTCAACGGCCCGCTGGAAGCGAGTAGGACTCAGTGAGCCATGTCGGTTGACCTATGTCTTTTTCAGTTAGTGTGTCTATACGGACAGGCACTTCCCGTTACATTCAAGTATCTCCTCACGACAAGTGCGGGTCTTCTGAATTATTCTCTGCAACGAGTTTAAGTGGACCACTCTAGGGAGTTGAGCAGCTTCACACGGCACACAGGCGTGATTCCTTCATATTGATTGCGATAAGAGTCGGTGTGAATCTTGCGATCAGAGATGAGCTGAAAATAGCCCAGCAAGCTGGGCTTTTTGATCCGTTCGAATCGTCGGCGGCATTCTGAAATCCATTGCGATCCTCACAGCGAAATGTCTTATCTTATCTCACCGTGGAATAGCGCACGAGAATTTTGATTCGTATAGAAGGAAGGATGAGCGCACTTAGAGCCTTCTCCTTGGAAAAGGCTGGGTTGCATGAGGTTGAAGACATCTAGTAGGATGTGGAGAGTCACTACGACCATTATCATCGAAGAACACCCTGACCTCCTCACCTAGTAATTATCTGAGAGCGTCCGTCGCTAGCATCGCATTTCGTGAGGGCTCGATGAGCTTTTTGTTCGAAAGCACAGGAGGGGATATCGGGCGTGAAGCAGTCAATTTTGCGCATTGACTCAAAAAAAGAAGCAGTAGAGCTCCAGTATTGTTCATATCTTAGTGGTGGCTTAACGGAAAGCAATGATATCATGTGTACTCTCTCCGTACATTTGATACCCAATCATTACGGAACAACTGTACGAATTTCACATCGCACTTGTTGTACTTGTAATATTTCATCGCTAATATGGTGTCAGTATTTGTGAAGATCATGCAACTTCGTACAGGAGACGTTCGTGGTCATGTGGACTGATGGTCGCAAGTCAAGCATCTTTATCGTGAGAAGTTGCAAAATGTTTTGATTGAGTATCATTCCAAATTTTATCAATCACAAGTATGTGGACTCTTGAATAGCATAGCAAATTAGATTAATACTAACTCGAGCAGACTCGGGTCCACTCTGGTTGGAGCGTACAAATGTAGCCTCGTCGCGCTTGTTAACGCGGACTCTTTGAGTATAAGATTTCTTTGTGCAATGTGCACATGGCCCTCCTCTACATACTGCACGACGTGAGGCTAAGGGTCCACGTGTCGCGCATGTTTCTTTGGACGAAGTTCCACCAAACGCATTAGTAGCAGTGCCAGTGCCTCTGAACTTTGCACCAAAGTGTAATGTGCACGTCCACCATAACAGCTCTTACCGATTTTGATCGCTCTAATATACCAGAGCTACGGTTCTCGACCAGGTACCATAGAGCTTCGCTGTAACCCCAAACAAAATATCGTAAACGAGTGCGTCTAACTAGATCTCGGCGATCCTAGACCTTTTTGCAGCCATCACGGGCATACAGTAGATCATCTTGCAAATGTACAGGCTTGTGAGGCCTGGTGACCAGCTAAACCGACAGGTCCTGGCCAGGCAACATTGAAATGTTGCTCCCATTAACGAACGTCCAAAAGCTGGTGAGTTTCGGCTCTGTTACCCGATGACAAAGGAAATAAGCCTGTCCGCTCAACACCTTGCAAGAACTGAGGCTCAAAGTTTTGCGAGAAAGTTTCGATCTTGATATGGCTTACTAGCCGAGACGAAGGGATCACAAGTATTTGTTACATACGGTTTAGCGAAATGGTGCATTTCACCTATGTTCGTACGTGTGAGGTCTTTTTGCGTGTTAGCCGGAAAGCTTATATCGAAACGGCGACGAGCCTTTCAGTTTTGTAAATTCAGATGCAAGCAGTTATCTTGCAAATCAATATTTATTTTATTTGGTTATGCTGCCTTACTGCAAATTAGCTTACTATGACATTTTCCGTCTGTTATTGTTTGTCAGATATTTGATGTAAATTTGAATTTTTCTTCGACTGAGCTCCAATTTTTAAAAGCCAATATTGTTTATATAGCCTTAAGATTTGGACGGTTAAACTGAGCAACCCCATCCTTAAGGGATATCCATAATTTTAATTATAAGACAAAGAATCGTTTATGGGTTAGAGATAAAAACGCATCATTGAACTTACCCATGAGAACCCTTAATACTCGTGCACTATTGTTGATGACGCTACTGCTATTGCTGTCGCATATGTGCTACTCACATGGGTTGTGTGGCTACTGTATGTAACGTAGCAGATGACTTGTAGTTCTGCAAGGATCGCAGGCACCCAAAGGACACAATTTAAGAGCACTACTCTTGACATTCTAATACTGTGATTTTTAGTGAAGGCGAGTCCATTCAATTGCCGAGGCTACAAGAGGTGATGCATTGGTCAGTTTGCATCCTTTATCGGACTACAAAGGCATAAAGTAAAAAGCCACCCACACTGCAATAGTGCGTTCGTATTTTTTCTGTCTCTGTCACCTTCGTAAATTCTTTTTGCTCGTTGAATAAGCACTTTGTCTCTATCGTCCTTTTTTAAGCCTGAAAACGCTCATAAGATGTATATAATCAAAAGGCTTTACGAGACAATGTTTTCTTACGTTGAAGTGTCGTAACATTCTCGCTTCTGTGGGACAATCGGCGTCCCAGTAACACAGAATAACCAGTGCGAGTCGAGTTTATAAACTTGTCCGTAACAGTGATCTAGATTGCGGGCTTATCTGATTACCATCTGGCTGGTGGAACGTTCCTTGCCTGAGTGATACACCTGATTGGAGCCAAGATCCATGGTGGATTTTGAGAGGATATCTCGCCTCCTCAAAACGGCACAAGTTTTTCACATTATTTTAACCTGTAAAGTCAGCTCTTCCACGGCCAGATTTTTAAAAAGTCATCTTGGAAGCCCAAATTGGAGAGGTGGACTACTTCTAAATCAAGATTAGCTGGTATACTGTAGCCTGTACTGGTTAGCTATCCCTCAGGTTCGCTAATTTTCTGACTTGCAAAGAAGATCAATGCTTTTGCTTATACACAAGAATTTCATGCTCTTTTAACAGTCTAAGAAATACTAGCCGGTAGAAAGTTAAACAGAAGATGTGAAGCTCCCATAATCTAATCCGCAAATTCTTCTGCTCACAAGTTTATTGCTCTGGTTCGTATCCTTGTGCAGTTTCTTTTCCTCGCTGCCTTGCTCCACCTTAATCTATTTCTTGCTCTTAGGAACAACATAATGGCCTCTAACAGATAAAAGTGAGAATTGTTGTCCATTCTGTAGGTCCGATTAAAATTTACTACCAGACGCAAGCAGTGGAGAACGAGGGACACCAGTACGCTTTATCATTATAATATGGCTCTCATTACACATGAAGGTATCAAGACTGTTGTGGAGATAAGAACATTTCTATATCTTTCCTCTTAAGTTCACAGCTAACTCGCTGCCGTTTAAGTGGAGGATATCAAGTTGTGAAAAGGAACAATAGACTTCGCACTTGTTCATTAAATCATTTATTGCTAATATTTGTGTCGACAACCTTTCCGCGCAATCACAATGTACATGACGCAGACGGAAGTGATTAAACTGGCATCACTGGACATGAACAGTAGAAAATGACTTGTACGTAATCAAGCGCGATTCGCATTCTCATCTGTGCAAACTTTATATCCAGAAGCCCCATATGCTTCCATCTAGACCGTATAAAAAGCTCTGATAGTACAGTAGATATCCATATCAAATCTCACAGTCTTTCTTTTCACTTGGAGATTGTAAGTGAACCATGTTAATTCTGGCTTTTTTGAGGGATCCAGTAAAATTTTACTAGAGTAGTACATGAAATCTTCCTGAGACCTTCATTTTTCTATATAAAACTAGAACATAATTCTTTGAAAGGTCATAGAACTACGTAACACTCAAGCTCTAGCCTGTATCTAATCAATGAAATTTCTCTGATCCGTAATACCATTTAACTATAAAAAGGACGGCTTGAGCCGTGCATGAATCATGTTGAGTCACCTGCACTATCACCGGTCCATGCACCCTACTGTCAACACTTTCTCTGAATATTTGGCTGATCGGAACTGCATGCACAGATTTAAGTCTGCCGACCCGAGATCTGGTCATTATCCGATTCTTGTGGCCGGCTTTGCACCGATTGAGTATTTAAGGTGGAATGAGCACTAAACGCTTCACCGTGAATCCTTTTGATGATTTAAGACTGTCGGTTGATGATCGCACCAAACTTTTAGCAGTCGCAGAGGAGCTGGTGCATGCCAAATTTGCAGAGTATGAAGAGTATATTAATAAGAGGAAATGGATTGATCCAGTTCGGTGGAAAAAGTGCTCGCAAGCTGGGGCTGCAACTACCTTTATGGAGCGGAAGAGCGTGAATCCAGGTTCCAAAATGGTGGCAGCGTTAATGGTGGGCCCTCTTTTTGGTACATTGGATGACGTAATGTTTGGCCTTGTCTGTCCTACGCTTGAGTCGATGCGAATTAAGGCATCGTACTTGCACGACTTTAGTGCCGCAGCTGTTCTTGCAACGATTTTAGAACCGACAGAAGACGATCCGTTCCGATCGGTTGTTGTCAAGTGGATGGAGATTGATATTCCTGGCGCTTCATTTGGCTTTGTCCGCAATCGAGACTACGTTTATTTAGAGAGCACGGGAATTCTACACTTGAAGAACGGTGAACGTGTGGGATACCATTTACTCCATTCTGTAAGTTTTGCACAAACGCATGAACGCCCTGGTCGAATTCGCGGTAATATGTCGCTGTGCGGAATCTTTCGACAAGACGGACCAGACCGGACGGACTGTCGGGGTACCAGTGTCATTGATCCAAAGGGTGACATCATTCCGTCCATGGCAATGATGAGATTGGTCAACGCTACTATGGCAGGGGTACGATATTCGTACTGCGGACAGATGAAGAAGCTCGCGTGGTTAGTTGAGCAACGGCATGCCGAGGTACGAGAGGTCGGAGCGCCTATTGTTAAACCATTGTGTGTAACTTGCGCGAAGGGTGTCAAATCTTCACGGCTACGTCGGTCCGGTAAGCCAAACAGAACATGTAAATTATGTTTTGGAGCGCTATGTCGTTCGTGCAAGGTTTCCAAGAAGTTGAGCTTCACTTTGCCCGATCTATCGCTCATTCAGATGAAATTGAGCTTTTGCGTCAGGTGCTTGATCGAGGCCAACCGTATAGATACGCTAAAGGCTGCACGACATCAATTTGTATTCGGAAATTCTACGTACCATCGTGCCTACGGTTCGATCTCTGATTCGTGCAGGACCTCTCGCACGGAAAGTATAGTCAAGTCGGGGTCCACACCGACTGATTCGACTGATTCCTGACTCTGTTTAATTTTATGATGCTATGAACCACATTTATTACTTTTGTCGGCACTAACCTTGTACTTAATATACAACATACTTTAAAATCTCCATACAACCATTCGATTATAATTGCTGTCAAAAGCCTTTGCACCGGGGATTTCTTGACGATACTTGGAGCAAAGTGGGAATTCTATTCATTGATGACCTGCCTACACATTGAAGCTTTACGTTTTGATGTGCAGATATATTATTATCTTCAAAAGACAATACCATATCATTCAACTACTTGCAAAAAATGCGCATGTATAAAATCTCAGAACAAGTCGAAATGGATACAGAGATTGAAGCACTCCGTTATAAAAAAGCCGAGCACACGCGATGCCACCACAGAAGCCGTACCTCACGGTATCTCCATCTGCAATGTATGATAAACGACCATTTGGTTCCGAGCCCAGCTACGAGTATGACAGTTTACTAGCGCACAACTGTCTCAGTGTGCATCCATATTCACCGACATTCGACCTCGAATGCGGTGGCAACAGGAATGATAGTCACTGGATGGTTTTGTGCGCATTGCATGGTGTCCTATGTATGACATATCGAGCGATAGAGTTTGTCCAGTTAAAACACAAAAACTTTGGCATTCGATGGCGCAACATGAACACGGAGAGAAACCCAAACATACCACCGAGTTGCATGATGGGACCGCACTGGCATTTGATGTTGGCCACGTGGTTTATCTTCTTTATTGTAGCGTCCTTGATTAATATACTAACATTGAACAAGGCAAGTATCTTCGAAATAGGAGGTGGAATGGTTCTGTCGGCCTTGTGTTTGACGTGTTATGCGCTCGTTGGATGCTCGAATCCAGGCATTGTCAGAAGGTTAAAGTAATGATGTAAACACTAAGATAAATACGATACTGACTACGTCATGGTCACAGGATCGAAGTGCCACCTGATAACACGTATACTTATTGTGACCATTGTGACTCGTACCGGCCAGAAGGGTACGTAACTGAAATTCTTATGACTTCACCGGCTGAGGCATCTTTTCTCACGTGATGTTAGAGCTTTACACTGTTTAAAGTGTCGGGTGTGCATCGAGGAATATGATCATCATTGTCCTTGGACGGGAAAATGTATCGGCAAGGGAAACGTGCACTTTTTTTACATATGGCTGCTCTTCTTGGTGCTGGCATTCGTGTATGAGGTGATTGAATTCACAATGTATTTACTCCCGTCAGAGACTCAGTCAATTGAGTTGTCAAATGACTCGTTGAAGATTGAGACTCCTAGCATAACGATTAGCTGATCATAAACTGCAGAGCTAGTCAAGCCATGTAAGGCTCAAGTTGATATGAAGGAATTCTTGAAATGTGCTACTTCAGATTCTGGTATACACCACAATGCAGTAAATCAGACATCAGCTTGAGGTTGATGTCAAAGTTCATTTATGTCAAAACGGTATTTAAATTTTGCGTAGTGAAACTTGCTGATTCTGGGTTGCCAGCAGTCATTCCAGACGCAGTTTTTTTCATAGTCAGAGCCAAAGGTGTACTAAGACTGGACGAATATGGTTGTGACATCGGTGACGTGTGCGCACTATGAATTGGAGATTCCGAATGCTGCAGCGATACCGTTGTGGATGGAGTAGGTGGAGTGAGCAGATAACGCCACTTGCTGGCGATGCGTAGTTGCCAGATCAAAAATCCCACAAACGACAGCGAGGAGATAGTAATGGATGTTTCTGCGGACATATAAAACTGAATCCACGTGACCGCCCCTAAATAAAAAAAGAAGGAGGCAACACCAAAAAGCATGAACTTGTAGGCCGTCATTTGCTCCTTCTCGCATCTTGTAAGCCACCACGAGCTGAATGGCGAGCCCAATTCAAGCTGTGTCATGTCCATTGTCCGGACACTATCCTCCAATGTGTGGGCGGCATAACGGGTCACCGCTAGCAGCAAATTTGTACACATGACAGCACATATGAGCATGGCGACACACACTGCCGTGCCTGAGACAGTATAGAGGAACAATACGTAGGCGTGCACGTCGTCTGGCACGCTTACATTACACATGGCACTAATAATAAAGCCACATAGCAGCGTTGCCTGCTCTGATACAGTGGACAATTGTTCGGCACGAGCTTCACACACTAAATGCTCACTCTGCGTCTTTTCACGTCGTAAAAAGCGCTCAATGTCCGCTAGTCGCCATTGATGCGCGCGGATGATATCGTCATTTAGCCATTGAATTTCTTGTTCTCGATACGCCATGTCTTCGTCGCGCCATTGCTTCGCATTGCGGAGATCATATGACCCGAAAAGCGCGCTCACCACGCTACTTGCCATAATTTCTGGTAATTTTATTGTTATGGGAAATGACGCAAATTGACATTCATTCTTGTCGAGTACTAATTAGTGCCAATCACATAATAAATTGCTGAGTGATTTCTGTGCCATGAAGAAATTCTACCTGTATATGGATACATGTCGTCGACGAATGAGATAACGAATATGGGGAGCGAACATATTGAAAATTATCGAACATGACACACTCCCATGTATGAAGCTAAGACCTCCGTTTAGACGTGTGCATTTTTGGGCAGAAACCAAATTGTGCCGAACACTTGCTTACAAGTTTTTCTAATGCATCAAAACTTAAAAAGGCTATCAATATGTAACTTGCCATCTAATTTGATATGCTTTAAATAATCTGTAGAGATTATAAGGAGTACGTTAAATGATCGAGAAATTATATACTGAGTAAATCATTATCATGTATGTGTAGAATACACTGTTTTAATGTTGCAGTGCCACATCAGAAGCGGAACTGAGAATCCGAATGAGGCAATTTCTTCTAGGTTGTTTTGCTAATTTAAAAGTGCCATATTTAAGAAATTATGCGTAATATTCTAGGGTAAATTAGCAATTACTGCGCTGGAGTGTTACTCAACCCTTTGCATCCATCGTACCGACTCCTCAGAATAGCAATAGGCGTATTCTCATAACCAACGCTCTAGAAGAAAGTCTCATGTAGATTGTCGAAGAATATCTCGATGAGAACGGTCACAGTATTTCTTCGAGTCATGATCAGACACCTCCGCCCTTCATCCTCAACTTGGCCTGGCCATTCACCAAGCGAGAAACCAAACTACGTTCCGCCTCCAATCTGCACGAGCTGCTTAATCCGTGCCCTTTTCAAGGGCGGGGAATGTTGTAAATCTCACCGTCGAGCTGACGACGATTGTAAGAGGCCATCCAAGACAGTCCCAAGCACGGCTGCACGCTCGCACTTTGTCGCGGTTGAAATTGTGAGTGATGGAATAGAAGACTATAGCTCCTAAAGCTACAAGAATAAACCCACTCGAGCCCTCAAAGAGCTCCCAGATAAGCGAGCCACTCATCCCAGATGGTAATGACATCACCAGAATAAATTCCCGATCAGGAACCATCATTCGTTACTGCTTTGTTCAGTAACATCATACAATGCTGCCAGACATGCACGTGAGATATGTCGTTCTGTAATTTGTTGTTATATGTTCTTACAATACACTTCGAAAGTGATGATGTAATGGCTGAGTATGGCACATTACGGATGTCAAAGTGTAATCTAGTTCCTTCTTGGCTGTTACGATGAACGGCCGAGTCTAGCGTCGTTGCAACCCTGTAAACTTTTCTGACCAATTTTGCTTTCAGCGATGGCCGGCACATGACGCTCCATCTCGTCGAGATGAAATACAAATATAACGTGTAGCCGGTCTGATATCAAAATTCAAATTGGATCAACAAATCCTCTAGGACAAGATCCACTTTTTTATTCGTGGTGTTTTTAAAAATTTAGGGGTCTAACCAAACCACTTATAAAAATATGGTAGAATCTTGGGGGCATGCACTTCGTTGTTCAGCGTAAATTCAAAGAGAGTGGGTAAATTGATATTTTTTCGCGTTTTTTTCGCTCATGTTTCTCGACATATAAGTCATGAGATCAGCATATTTCGTCTGTCGATCTGTTTGCAGATGGGCAGAATTAAAAAGGAACAATTTGGTGTTTAGCACCTTTTTTAAAGCTGGGCTGTCAAACACTTCTGAATCATGCCCAACGGCAAGCCATGTCGGAAAAATATTTTGGCTGTATTGTCACTTGGCTATAGTATCATAAACAGCAGCAAAATGAGATATCTTGCATCGACGGTCCACAAAGACCATGGTGTCGGTTGCATCGGGTGCGTCTTTCAAAAAATTTAAAAGAAAATCCCATTCCGATTGACTGCCAAAACTTTATCGGAACCGGCACGCTGGTAAAAGTCACCGAAGCTTCGAGCAAGACATTACATAACGCACATGCGCACATAAAGGCTTATTCATTTTTGCATTTACGGACAACGATACCAAGGACTCATATTTTTCTCTATACTTCTATTTAGTTCATGTGCCCTGGGCAGTATTCTGTACTTAAAATATGCATCATGCCGTACCACCACACGTTTAATGTCAAGAGGGTAAGTGCTCAAATATAGCAACTCCTAAAAATTGTAAAACGGTGCGGACATTTTTCCGCAGCTTCGATGAATCGACATCCGAGCTCTTTATCCGTTTGCTTCGAAAAGCATTCAATAACGCATCTCGTGTTGCCGCTAACCCGTACGATCAATGGAAACTCTCACTAAATAGTGACGTTATCATTGTGATATGTGACGACTCACCGTTGGGACGTCGCAAAGCTCATCCGCCACCGCCTCGACCCGGCTAATGCCTTACCTGAAGAGAATACCCGGTAAAATAGGATAACCATCTTGCCTATCTCTGTGAGTGATCTCGGGACGACGTGGCTGTGTGCAACAAGTTGTGATCTATCTCAATTACCGACGGACTGAACTTGCCGCAGGAGACTTAAGTGAGACCACGCGAGCATATCCGTCTACATCTTCAGTAAAGCGTAGCCTATCGCAATCTGACGAGTCAAGGATACCATAATATCGCTGACCTTGAATCAAATGAGGCAAAATCGCGTCACGGATGAAACTTTCTGTCACACCTCTGAACGCCGCTTTTCTGCTGCATTTCAACACCACTACTATTCTTTTGAGGAATATTGGTGAGGGGCATGCAATATTGGATGTGCAAGGCATTGGCCAGACCAATCCACGTCCTCAAATCATTTTTGACAGAGTCTTTGCCTAATCTTCAATGACCTTGGTCGTTGTGATATATGCCCACAGACCTGCTTGCACTCGCTATTGTTTTATGTGGTTCTCAACAATCGACTATTTGTGCTTCGCACAATTTACGCCTGAAAATGTCATAAAAAAGATTTGCGCATAGCCACGATAAGTCCAGAAGAGATGCATCACGGGCCGATTGTATATCGCTAGAGATTAAAGACAGTGCATGTGCGTGAACATCATCCGCCAGAAAATTCCGTTTGGATCGACGGTTTTTGAAACTACTTCTTTGGTAGTTTGTGAAAGATACATCGAGCATGTCAGTTTGGTTATCACAAAATGAGCCCTCAATAGATTCTGGTCTAAAGTCGCCAATGTAGCTGTAGCGGGGTTCCATGTGTCCTCATATGAAGGGTGCGGGTGACACAAGATGATGTGATCACACAATGGTGTAGCTACACTTAAACAGGAAGTCAGTACGTGGTTTGACTGCCAGTAATTATACAGTTAATAAGGTTTTACTCTATAGATGAGAAAACCTATAGATATAGGCGACTTCCGCAAATAAAACCGAAGAATACAGTGTATGTTTCAAATGGAAGAGTTAATTAGCCCTGGGTTAAGGTTGTAATTATTCTTGGAGTAAGCGGATTGCTATCCGCTACACTCGTACTGGTTATACCTAAAGGACAGAGGTCGCCAACCTTAACCTAGCTTCCTCTAAGCGAAATAACTGCGGCCGCCCCGCTGCAGTTGGTAGCACTTGTAGTCAATCTACACTCGAGTCTTTAACACTGACCCTCTGTGGGGATGGAGCAGGTCTCTTACTTGCCCCAGGCATGCAGGACGGTTGAAGTCTCTGCTTGGCCCTGAGGGCAAGGACCTGAAGCGCTCAGCGCACGCATAGAGGCGTCTTCGAGCTATGACAATTCTCTGCTAGAGCGCCTAGAGTAGAAGATGTCGGCGACGACAGCGTCCATGACGCCATCGTCGGCGACTGATGACTCCCCCCGACCCAAGCCGCTCATGGTTAGTGATACCTTCGAGGGCAAGGATCGAGAGGAGCTCCTGCTGTGAGAGAGGTCGAGATAGCCATGGCGTCTGCCATGATCCAGACCAAGCAACAGCGCGTGGCGCCGGCTATCTCAAAGCTCGGTGGTCGAACGCGAGAATGGGAACTGACATGCGGCACTTTGGTCGAAGCGGCGTTTCCCTCCTGGACGGAAGTGAAGCTGCAGCATTCACGGATGTTCTCACCTCATAACCTGGCATATCGCGTGCAATCATGTTTTCTTGCCGCCCCACAGGGCAAGAAGGAATTGGTGGTTTATGTCCAAGAGTTGCGTACTCTCATTGCCGGTATGGCAGCCGCTCTTCTACCCGAGGAGATCACAGTGACCGTCTTGACGGAGGGCCTCCGCACTGGTGTGGCCAGAATAGAAAACTTCCGTGTGCACCCGTCATCTCTTGAAGAAGCAGAGAATGTGCCATTGACTGCCGAATTCGACTTCAACTCGGCACGACTTAGATAGAATGCACACTCTAGCGGCTCATCGAGGGATCTCATCATAGCTGCGATCGAGGAGGCAGATCTTCGAGCGTTCGAACACCCGACGGTGTTTTGTCTGAGCAGACACACGTCACCTTCAAATTGGTTGTCCCTGCGTAAGGCCGTAAAGGTTCATCGAATCGACGTCCCGCTCCCACCAGCCTTCTGGTTTGCCGCGGGGAAATGACAACGCTCAGCGGGCACGGGAATACCTGTGTTGAGCATCAAGGATGTATAGGTTAGCAGGGACCGGCCCCGAAGGCTCCGTGCTCTTGAACACGGAACGTGTATGCAAGCGGGGCTTGCTGGTCGCGGAAGCAACCGTGAAGAACTTTGAGAAGCCATGGGGACTTTTTTCGACTCCGGGGCGTCGAACAATGATGCTTGACGCTCCACGATTGAAGGAAGACACCTGTATGCTAAGGCGCATCGTTACTGTTCGCTTAGCGATGGGTACACGTGTCACGGTGCCGAACGTCCATGTGGACCTCGCTGTCAATTATTCTTAATTTTGATAGCGTGGAATGCTGTTAAAGTTTAGACTTGAATTCAAAGTATGACCTCACCCTTGGTATGGCATGGCTGGAACACAATGAGCCATGGATCGACTGGAGACCGAAGACCTTGGGCGCTACGCG